ATCGAGTTACATAAGCTCTGTTAAGCAAGCTAGATGCGTTCCTGTGACTGTCAAATTTAGTATTTAATTTAAGCTGTGTTCGTTTTTAAAGCCCATACAGGTTTACAAATTGATCTTTTCGTCTTCCATGTTTATAGGGAACTGCCTAAGCTAAGATTCTACAGATCCTTCATTTGCATCAGTTTCTGAATGCCAGAGCAAACCTATTTGCCTAATTCTGTGTTTACATTGTCAATCAAAGAAATGCACATGGCTTGTGGCTGTCTCCTCTCCAGTGGACTGGGAATTAAAATATTACGTATCCAGAGGAGGAGCAGAGGAAAAATTGAAATCATCGAACGCAGTGTCAACCATATGAAATTTCCTGTAATCAGTCTCATATGCTGTGCTGTCATTTTGCATCTTCATTTTCTCTGCCTTGGGTGTTGTATATTTTTAAAACCTTACATGCATGAGACACGTGAGTGTCTTCCCCACCGAGATCTGTCCTCAGGGCTCTCACGCTGAAGGACCTCTCTGCCCAGGACAGCTCGTCTCCTGAGGTGAGCAGGTACAGGAATCTCACGCAGCCTCTGAGGAGGAGCAGGAGGAGCCTGGCCGTGCCGAGGCCTCTGCCCACGGTGCTGCGCCATCCGGGGTGTACTCGTGGTCCCTGTCCCCAGCCGCTGCAGGCACCTCTGGAAGTCACGTCTGAATGCTGCTTCTTCAGTATTCCAGGCAGGTGGAGCAGTCATGGTCCATCACTTATTATTCTACCTTTGACACTGCTTCAAGAGAGTCTACAGTGGCACGAATTAGTTGACACCAACTTGCTCCATACCTTGCGTTTCCTCTTTCCTTATTTTATTCTTCCAGTGGAGATGCACTCAGATTCTTTATATGTTAAAAAATAAGAGTTAAATTTATCTTGTTTAACTTCTTGCTCTATGAAAAATATTTCCCCTGTAGAACTGTAATTAACCTTGAATACTGTGCATCTCAATCTGAGAGATTCTCATCAAATATTAAAACCCACTTCTATATACTTTAAGACTTCAACCATTTCTTTTTAATGAATATCTTTGTTCTTTGTAAAACTTCTATCAATTACTCCCCACATTCTCTGTGCAGTCTCTCCATTTTTTTTCTTCTGATTCCTCTTGATGATAAGCTAGATAGCTTCGCATATAATTGGCTGCGCTCTTTTCTGCACCTTCTGGAGAGAGGCCAGCTTCATGCTGCCGTTGAGATGTATGCTAAGGCTATCCAGGGATGCCTACAGCAGCCACAAGACCATGAATTTGTATTGTGGGTCATTAAAGCAACACCATTGTCATCTTTTGTTTTCTAGAATGTTCCATGTTGTGCAACTGATATTATTTATAATGCATGTTTTACTGTTTTTTTTTTTGTTGTTGTTGTTTGTTTGTTTTTGCTTTCAAACAAGACATTGTGTCAACCGGTTACCAAAATATTTATAATTCCTTTTGAAACAAGGTTTTCCCATAATTTACAGTTTGTGTTGAGAGAGGGTCTTCCCATGTTGTTACGTTATCCAGGCTTAGCCCAGACATGTGAATCTCCTGCCTCAGCTTCCCGTGGTTACAGGAAGAGATTACAGGCATGCACGACCACATGCATCCTGAACGCTTTCTTCTCTTGTGCATCCAGCATTACCAGAAACAAATTAGGTGAGCAGAAACAAGGCTAAGACTTTCTTATTGGATAGACAGTGAATGTAGCCTCCAGTTGGCTTTCAGTTTCATGGAGAATTGTGCAGTTCTGCATACCCTGTGCACTACAGGGTCACATAGATACAGCATGCCCTGCCCTTCCAAGCGGTGGTTTTGTTTTTGTCTTCGGCTTCTGCCCTCTCTTGAGCAGTGTGGTCAACGTGCCTATCAGGCAGCCATCGGCGGTCCTGCTCTCCTGTCTGAGCAGCGCACGCAGCTTCCTGGGACTCAGCTGCAAGCAGAGGCAGAGCTCAGCCACTGTCCGGGTCAGCAGGTGCAGGAGGTGCTGCCTGTGCTCTCGGGGGTGACCCTGGGGGCAGCGAGGTCTCTGCTCCTGACTCCTGGGTACAGCATTGTGCTTGGGAGCTTTCCTGAGTGGGCGCTGCTGCTCTCAGAAATCATTCTGAGGGTGGAAATACTCTTTGTATGCGCTGTGCTAAGAAGCTGCTATCTGTGTTTAAGGGGAACTTAAAGGAACAAGGTGGTTGGGAGGGAGTGCACAGGCGAGATGTGACGTGGCCAGCTCAAGAGAATGCAGGGGAAGGTACTTCTCCCAGGCCGGGGCCCCCAGGCCTGCTCTTTTGCTTCTGTGCCAGG